GGGGGGGGGGGGGGGGCAGCAGGATGGATCCTTGGGATGTTCCAGGCACTTTCACAAGGTTCTGAGGGATTGTCTGCCAACCACAAGCTGTTGTCCAGGAGCAGCTGCTGGCAAAGCTGTGAATTCTCCTACCAAGGTGTGGAGAAGTTCTAACAAACTGAACTGCTTTGGAAGTATTCATTTTTTTAAAAAAGGAGGAGAGTTTTCTCCACCTCAGTGCCTGTGAAGATGCTCTCAGGGGCTTGTAAGAAGGATGAGGGAGGTACACCAGGAGCTTCCTAAGAATGTTTTAAGATCATTAGAGTCTTCTTCAGGATGCCTAAAAGGGCTTGTGAGGATGAAGGGCCTTGGGTGGCTGCTCCCTGCAGGACTGAAGAATACTCCTCTTTTCAGAGGCTATAGAACCTAAATGTAGCTGGGAGGACAGATGCCTAAGGATGGGTGTCAGCTTGTGTGCAATTCCAAGCTCTTGATGCCTTTTAAAAGAAGCATCCAAATTCCAAGGTGCCAAACAAGAGCCTGATTTCCAGTGTGTGTCCAGATGGGAAATTTTGATGCCTCTCCTGGCTTGTGAAGGTGGAAAGGTTGGATTATCAAGTCTAATTCTGCTACAGTTCCCTCCCTCTCCCCCCACCAGAGCTATGTGTTCCCAAAAAGATCCACTGTCAGGAGCCGTTTGCTGCCAGTGGACCAAACAAGGCTCACAGCAAAACCTGGGATAGAGTTATTGGGTAATTTAGCAAGGAATGTGTTCCTTCTTTTCTTGTTCTTTCCCAGAGAAGCTGTGGCTGCCTCATCTCTGGAAGTGTCCATTAGACGTTCACTCTTTATTATCAGCTGTATCATCCCGTCATGAATCGAGGTGCTGATCGCTAAATATTCCTCAAAACCAAGATATCCTCTTTCATTTTCCTCACGCCCAGTAACCTCTAACACTGGAAGGAGACAGCTGTGATTTTCTTTGGCAGCACTGGAAAAATTTAGCAGGGAAGGATCGTAATACACTCACCCAGTTTCTGCTCCCCTTTCCCTGAGTGTCTATTTTTGGCTGCTCTCGAAAATCAATACCCCTGGACTGACTCATCGCCACGGAGCTCCTCTCATATTCCTAGAAGTGGAGCTGCCCTGTTGGAACGGGAAGTGGGAGTACAGACAGCACCAAATAAATCGAGGAAAAATACTCTATCGATGAAATTCCCATATGAATGATCTTCTGTGTATTTCCACTTCGTTTTTGCCACTGAAAATCAGATTTCACCTATTATTTGGTTAATAATAAATAATAAAGGGAAGTGAGAGACCATTTTCATTTATCTATTCCTAAACATAAAAGACTCCTGTAATTCTTGACGTGCCTTCAAAAAAAAAAAGCTTTTTTTTGTTTTGTTTTCCTTAAGCACAGTCCAACTATATTATATATGTGTGGATTTTATTACTTGCATTCAAACCAGGGCAGATTTTCCCCCTTATTTTTTTGGTGTGGTGCTGCCAGTTATGCAACTATGCAACATAAAAGAGGATGTGAATTATTTCTTTTCCTCCTTTAAAAACAGCATCCACTTGTGAAATTCAGGCTGGGCTATGGTTCTGGCTTTAAAATTCCCAGGACTTTGGGAATCAAAACAAAGTTGCAATTGGTGTGTAATTTTCACGCTATTTTCTCTTCCCTTTCCTCCCTATTTTTTAATTCTTATACAAAAAAATGGATTCATAGAATCAAGGCTCCTTGTGAAGAGACTTTGTCCTCCCTGTGGCCACCCTTTAAACACTTGGATTTAAATGGCTTTAAGATGAAGGAGGGAAGGATTAGATTGGATATTGAGAAGAAATTTATCCCTTTGGGGGTGGTAAAAATCTGGTTGTTTATTAATCCCATTTTAGACACATTTATCACATTTATTTAGTTGTTATCACACTCGAGGGTAACCACCTGAAATTTTGGAATTTATACTGCTCATTCAGGCTTCCTTTCTCTGCCCTGCCTAGAATTTATTCTGGCATCAGCATAAATGTGCATTAACTTCTGCAAAGTTAGAGTTAAATTACATGCTTTTCCTTGGAAGGGTAAAATAATACCCAGAATTCCTTTTCTAGAAGACTGAGTCCAATTCAAATTCAAGTTTCAGGTAACAAAGAATTGTGAGGGGAATTGCTCGGAAAATCTAAAGATATTTGGATTTGAATATTTAAAAACAATGGTCATGGCTTGCTTTCCATGAATTACTCTGGAAAGTAAATGCACAAAATATTTGTGAGAAATCCCAAAAATCAGATGTGACATTTAATTTTAAACTTGGAAAACTAAAAGCTTTTGTACAGGGAAAATACTTACTTTGTTTGCCAGCCCTGCCACCCCTCCATAGAGAAAGGAATATAATTTATATATATTTTATCGTATATTTATGGCCTGTTCTGCTGTCACCAAACATCTTTCAGACCTATTCTCATCCTGCTTTCTTGACAATTTCAACACTTTTATTATTTTTCCATTTTATCTTTTTACCTCTAGACCACAAGCCCTTGTTTGCCTTCACACAACATATTTAGGTTTTTATTTCTGCTTAATTCTGAAATGCTTGTTGGTGGTTATGGGAATGTCCAGCCTGAAGAAGGGAAGGCTCCAGGGAAACCTTAGAGTCCCTTCCAGTGATGAAAAGGGCTCAGGGAGAGCTGGGAGGGACTTTGGACAAGGGCCTGGAGTGACAGGACAAGCGGGAATGGCTTCAAACTGTTAGAAGGTGGGTTTAGACGGAATATTGGGAAAAACAAAATCTTTCCTGTGAGGGTGGTATGGCACTGGAATGGATTTCCACGGAAAGCTGTGGCTCCCTGTTATAAATACATATCATATTGTTGGCTTTTCGCAAATACTAAAATGAATGTTATATGTATACGGTTAGAAAATTTTGTTATATTAATATAGTTCCTTTTATTTCTGTTATTGATGAAACTTAGAAATAGTAGTATAATATACATATATGTTGAGCTTTAGCATGGTATTAAAACAAAAACTACTTTTGTTTGTATAACCCAATGACTGAAAAAGATAGTTAAAGACTCCCCTGTATTCTGAAGTTATCTTATCCAGATGAAGACAGCAGTGACCAGAGCTCCAGGGGAGGAATTTATTGCGTTTCTGTTATCAGGGAATGTAAAACTCAGTGGAGCCAAGAAGATTGATCTATTGAGAAGGAGGCGAGCCAAAAACTAAACGAAGAAACATACAAAACTTAAGAAGAATGTTTGAATCATGTATGAGAATTTATGAATATGCAGTAAGGTTCTGTTTTTAAAGGACAATCCTTTGTTAGTAAGGTGTGCTCTCTTGGCTGAATGCAGAGACACCCGGCCATATCTGTATACCTTATTTTTATCTCCTAATTGTCTTTCTATTAAACTTTTAAATTCTATAAAAATACATGTGAACCTCGTTTTTCACACTGCCCCATCCCTGGAAGTATCCAAGGCCAGGTTGGATGGGGCTTGGAGAAACCTGGGATAGTGGAAAGTGTCTCTGCCCAGGCAAAGTGATGGTTTTCAAGGTCCCTCCCGATCCAAACCAGCCTGTAAATTTGTGATAATCAGGACTTTTATAAACACTGGAAATGCCCTGTATCAGTGATTTCTCAGAGGAACCAAATTTTCAGAGTGTGTATGCCTGTTCCTTATAAAACTTTAGATGCAATATGACTCTTCCGCTGCAACATCTTGTGTTTGGCACAGGTTCCACTGGGATTATCTCAATGTGTGTTCCTCTTCAGACAGCCCTTGCACCGCCCTCCCTCATTCCCCTGCTGGAGGGGGTTTGGAATGCAACAGCTCCCCCACGGCCATGACACCCGCCCGCGCCTCCCGCTGACGTCATCCCCACGCGACACCGATGCCCGATCCCCGCGGTGCTGCGCCCCACCAGCGCTGCGGGATAGCGGAAACCTCCCTGCAGGTTCTCGAGTGTCCGTGAGGAGACAATAGTGGGGGAGCCGCCCCCGCCGAACCTCGGAAAAACCGCCGGTAAACACCGCTCCGCCGTCCCGCCGCGCCAAGGGGACTACAAATCCCGGCGTGCCCCGGGGCAGCGGAGTACGGCGCGCAGTGATTGGCCCGCGGGGGAAAGTGCAGCGCGCGCGCCCCCACGTGGCGACTGGGCCGGGCCGGGCCCCCCCGGGATAAGCACGGGATAACCCGGGACAAGCCGGCTGTCCCCCGCTCCGGTGCCACGGGCCTCCTCTGAGCTACCTGGAGGGAGGCCGTGCTGAGTCGGGTGGCTGGGGACGAGGCCAAGTGCTGCGGTGGTTCCCTTCCTCTTCCCTTCCTCTTCCCTTCCTCTTCCCTTCCTCGTTCCTTTCTCCTTCCACCCCTCTTCCAGC